ATATTTTGACCATAATTTCCTGTGGTTGTGACAACCTGTATCTGAAGGGTCATACCAAGATTTACTCATGATACAATCTTGAATAATCTAATTATCCTGTATCTAATATTGAAGTTTCAATTCTCTCAAGAACAAAAAGTATAACATTTTTTTTAATGGCAACTATTAATCAAATGAGTGTTAAAACATATTCCTTTCTCTAAATAGTTAGATGAAAAATTACATTTATTTGTTCTATAAATTAAAGATTTACAAGAAAAATAAATGACTCAAATTAAGTATAAATTAATTATTCCATATTATTTAAGAAGAAAGTAATCCATATTTTGAAATGATTTCTCAATAGCTTAATTTACTTCTATTATTATCAATTTGAATTCTGCACAAAGTCTTACTTCTATTTTACTGTAATGCACAAGATACTTTTATTGATTTTGCAGTATATAACTTTAAGTTAGAGTAATAGAAATTCACTATTAAAATAAAAATGAAAATGCGGGGCTCTTTTTAAGCAAAGGAAACTCTAACTGACATCTTTGATTAAATACAAGATGTAGATATATAAATCTTTGGGATTATATTATAAATATTAAGAAAAGAAAAATTTTAAGACAGCATTGGATTTCTATCAGACATTGGGAATCAAAGTCAATTAGAATCATAAATTTTACAACAAGGAGAGAATTAAAAACAAATTGAATAAAAGTTGTCTGTTGTTAGAAATAACTTGAAGTAAATTACAGATGTTTTAACAAAATTAAAAGTTCATGTCTTCAATTACAAAGACTTTTCCTCTGAAGAAAATGAAGAATCAACATTAAGTCTAATTAATAGCATCAAGGATAATAGAAGGATCATTGAATTTTTGTAATTTTTAGTTCACCTTACATCTATAGATAACACTTTAATATAATGTGGATCAAATTCATTACATATATTAGTTTAGATGAAGGTTAACCTTAGAAATCAAAATTTTGAAAAAATTAAGATTTAAAATACTTCTTTAGTAGGAGCTAATTTTGTTATGTGTAATTTTAGTGATTCCTAATTGAATAATGTAAATATAAGTGGAATAAATTTGAATGGAGCATTATTAGTAAATTGTTAATGGAAAGATTTAAGAATCCTTGAATTAAATAAATTGTATAATCATAGTTGTGTGAATTCAGTCTGTTTCTCACCTGATGGAAATACTTTAGCTTCAGGTAGTTGGGATTCATCTATACGTCTATGGGATGTCAAGACAGGATAATAAAAAGCTAAATTTAATGGTCATGAAGATTGCGTCAACTCATTATGTTTCTCTGTTGGAAATATATTAGCATCTGGTAATGATGACAAGTCTATCAGTCTATGGGACATGAAGACTAAGAAATTAAGATGCAAATTAAAAGGTCATGATAATTCAGTCAACTCAGTCTGTTTCTCTCCTGATGGTAATACATTAGCATCAGGTAGTAATGATAAGTCTATCCGTCTATGGGATGTCAAAACAGGATAATAAAATGGCAAATTAGATAATCATACTAGTTCTATCATGTCAGTCTGTTTCTCTCCTGATGGAAATTTATTAGCATCCGGTAGCGATGAT